AATTTGTAAAATCCATTATTTGCAATATGTTTCACAAAAGTTCTTGGAATAAACAGCACAACTGGTAATCTTACATATTCTACAACATCATTTACAAAGGATGATATTTTTTTTTCAAAACCACAAATCTGTCCTTCTTTCTTTTGGTATTAAATAAAGGCAACAGTAGTACCGGTATGCCGCTGTTCAAAAGTCATATATCGATTGAGAAAAATCCAAGGGAAACACATCAACTATAAGAAGAAAACAAAGAAACAACAGAAACACAGCAATGCATCATTTTATCGCTAGCCAAACGCTTATATGGCAATGTTAAAAACACATCGCTAAAATGTCAACACTACGTGACAGAAAACCAGTATAGGTAAACGCGAAATCACTCAGCACAGAGAAACGCACAAATAGATAAGATAATAGTCGTTACAAAATGTACACAACAGAATAACAACGAAAATCTTACATTAATGACAGCACATGACATCACAAATAGTGACGTATTTTTGTAACGAATATATAATCTTGAAATTCAAACAATTATTTTCACAAGAGAGGCGAAAGATACCAGAGGGACATTCAAACTCTTAGATTGAAAATAAACTGACAACGCCATGGCTAAAAAAGAAAAAGACAAACAGACAAATAATAGTACACAAGACACAACATAGAAAACTAAAACCTAAGCAACACGAACCCCACCAAAAACTTGGGGTGATCTCAGGTGCTCCGGAAGGGTAAGCAGATCCTGCTCCACATATGGCACCCGACGTGTTACTCATGTTATTACAAACCGGGTAAATAGTCTAATTCGGTAGGTCACATTCGTGATAAGGGAACGGGATTGTAGTTACGACATAAAGAACATATCCTATATCATCTGTGAAACGGATATTCCATAACGGTCTACCAACTCGTGATGGCTTCCGTAAAATTTACGAAGGGATGATTTCAACTTCACCATTTGGAACTTTTGGTTTAATAGCTTCCTTGTGAGCAGCAACCCTCTATCAAGGAAATCATGATAGGAATTACAAGCCCGGGAATATTGTATCGATTGGGAGATATATTCTCCGTTTGCAGGCGCTGTTGGAATAATGCTACATAGAAATGAAAAGTCCACAATTGGGAAGCTGAATTCATCTCTTTTGTCGTAAAGTTTTGTTTTCAACCGACCCTCATTGTCAATTTCTAGATGAAAGTCAAGATATGATGCAGATTATTTATTTAATGAGAGAACATCATCTATATAGCGGAAAGTAAAGTTGAAGGATATTGCTAACTTCTTTTCTTTCTTCTTAAGAATTTCCTGTATGAAGTCAGCCTCATAAGAATAAAGGACTGATTTTGCAACAGACAGTCGGTATTCCAATGGGTACTAATTGTGCATCCCTTCTGGTCGATTTGTTTTTGTACTCGTATGAGGCAGAGTTCTTTCAGAACCTTCTAAAAGACAAAAAGAAAAAGAAAAAGCACTTTGCGAAATTCTTTCATTTTACTTTCAGATATTTTGATGATGTTCTATTACTGAATAACCGATATTTTAGTCAGTACTTGCATCTCATATAATCCAGTGAACTTGAAATTAAAGATACTAATGATACTAGAAAGACTCACACCTTGATCTTTTCCTCAATATTGACACAGATGGACGACTGCACACCAAAATCTATGACAAACGGGATGAATTCAACTTCCCAATAATCAATTTCCTATTTCTCAGCAGTAACATACACTCTGCTCCATCATATGATGTTTACATATCTCAATTCAATTGGTACGTTATGCTCGTGCATGTTCTCACTTTACGTATATACAGGAGTGTAATCCTAACGCAGAAACTGCTCCAACTGAGTTATGAGCAAGAAAGATTAAAAATGACACTCCGTAAATTTTATAGACACCATCACGATTGATTGATCTATACGATGTGTCTGTGTCTAAAACTGACTATAGGTTGCACTTTGTAAATACATCTGTTTCACATACCACGCCGCTTTTATAATTATACTATTCATAGATAATTAATTTTGTTTACGATCTGGTTCCCAGATATGATCTCTCTGTTTCATCTCGTAGAGACATAACTTTGGAATGCTAGCAGTAAATAAACATATGTATAGCGGTCAAATTGAAATTTGTGGAAAACCTAAAGTCAAGGTAGGGGTAGTACAGAAATTTAGTGCAAGTTTAAACTCTTAGAAGTTCGAGGCATAAAAACGTTGAAAATATGCCGCGCAGCCCTATATTTTGACCTTTGAAAAAAATAATGGTGCATATGAACTTTCCATTCTAGAATAATTTTTTTTCAAAACTTCATAGTAAAAGTGGTACAGTTTTAGCCATAAAAGGAGTACCTATGGGAAATTGCACTGTCGATAGTTACAGAAATGCAACCTATATTGGGTGAAAAAAGAGAACATGTAGAATTTCTTCAAATCTGGTTTATCATCAGAGTTTTAATAAAATTAACTCAAATATAAAGTTAAATAAATATTTCATGAAGATTGAGAAAACCTTTGCCTTTACTATGATGACGCAGCATAAACTCACAGTTTAAAATATGCATAGTTTGCCTAAGGCCCTGTATGCTAAGTAAATTCATAATATATGCTCATTTGTGATTAAAATTGTTAAGCAGTGCTTATATTTACTATTCGCAGCCATTGAAACACATAGATTCTTATGAATATTGTTGCTGGGGTGTTTTCGTCCTGTCGAAAACCCAAAAGTAAGCCGTAACACCTTAATATGGTTTCTTGTGACTGCGGCATAACAAAATACAAGCTAGATACAAAAATACCTCAATAAAACTAACAATAGTGTATTCTATCCTAAAAATGTTCTAAATATTCCATATTCAGAGAAACAGCAGAATTATTTAGCAAATTTGAGTCCCCAGGGGTAAAAAAAACAGAGAAAAATCCCTAACCACTGGGTCATAAAACAGATAATTTAGCTGTATAATCTAAGATTTTATTATTATAAAGGTCTTCTGTATAGAAAAAAATAGCTGTGCTTTAAATTTATGCAAAAAACAGATTCCAACAGTCAGTTCTATAAAACTTTTAGTGAATTCATATAACAGACTGGTAACTTCAAACATACAGTTTTTGCAAATATGGCTTTGTTTAAAAAGTTCTTGTCGTATATTAGCCAAATTATGTTTGTAGATATATAGTAAGAGATATTATTATTGTGACAAGAATTCTTTACAGAACATTTGAGCTTTTAAAAATAAATAGGCATACAGTAAGATGTGGACTTGAGAGACAGAGGCAGGGTTGGATACTTTATAATCTTGAATGTTGTAATAAATTACTACTAAATTTTACATTTATAGTATTCTGAAAGTATTTTAATTTGTTATCAGAATAGTTTCATACAGGTTCTAGGCATTTCATGTCAGAAGAGATGCACATAGGGTAAGCTTACATTAATTTAAGTCTTGCTTTCAAATTCTTTAAAAAATTAAAACAGGGATGGGGGTATAAATTGTACTATAAAAGAAAAGTTAGAGCAAATGCAGGAATTTCTTTTAGGCTATAATTCTGATAAATACCTATGGTTGTGAGAAAAAGTGTTTTTTCAATAGTTTTCTATTTGAATAAATGTAAGTATAGACATTATTACCACGTCTTAAATTCTGGTTTAACATCTATGTCGTCTGTATGATAGTACCGAACATGACCTATTCACGAATATAACTGTGTTGCCGAGTGTATATTTGCATTGCTATACGACGTGCCTCGGTATTTATACATCCAACATTCATGCATTTAGTTATGATGTCTCTTTTGTGGGTTCAGTTGAATATTGTGTTATGTCTTATCGTTTTTGTGTATTGTGAAAATAATTGTGATTTCTGGATCTTGTTCCATATAATTGTATGCATTTCAAGATTATATATACGTCATTGTTTGTGGTGTCCTGTGCTGTCATTAAAAGAATATATCCGTTGTTATTCTGTGGTTTACGTGTTGTAATATACTATTATATTATTTATTTATTCGTTTCTCTGTACTGAGTATTCTTGCGTTTGTTTGTACTGTATTCCTGTAACGTAGTTTTGTCATTTTGGCGATATTTTTTTTAACGTTGTTAGATAAACGGGAGGATTGGCTAGCCATAAAACCAGGTTCAACTCACCATTTATTCTTAAAATGTCCTTTCAAGTCAGCAGAATATAGCAGGTGTTATCAAATAGTTCGTTTCTTTGTATGTTGTCGTTTTTTCTCTTATAGTTGATGTGTTTCCTCGGTTTTAGCTTGTAACCCAGATTTGTTTTCTCTCAATCAATTTATGACTTTTGAACAGAGGCATATTACTGTTGCCTTTATTTACACAAGCGAGAAACATATCTAACGGAGCAAAAATGAAAATTCTGATTTAAATCAGATTGTCATACTTGCAGTAGGTTAAGGAGTAACACCTTTCAACTGAAAATACAGATGCAAAGGGTGGTGCTTTGCTTTACGCCAATTGGCATTTCATTTGAGACAAAAAATCATTCATTTGCGCCACAGACCATATTTCAATTGCGCCAAAATAAACCAAACATTTCATTTGCGCCAATAATACAGATAAATGGTATAAAACAAATATAAATCAATTGCTTTAAAAAATCAATTGTCAACGGTCTTTCCCCCTTCTGAAACATAATTGATTGATATATATATGTGTGTGTGTGTGTGTGTGTGTGTGTGTGTGTGTGTGTGTGTGTGTGTGTGTGTGTGTTCTGGTACACGTATGTCAATGAGGACATGTGTAAGTATACACACCAGTAAGTGAGGACTTCACTCACAACTAAGGACGTCCTCAGATGTAAATTGTATAATTATCGCTAAATTGCTTTAATTTTCAATCAAACATAAAATAAAAAGAAAAAATAAGCAAGTCTCACTCGCCGTCTATTATGAGGAAGTGTGAACTATGTGTGTACATCGATATTATTAAACGCCATTTTTGTGGTCGTGCTATAACACAATATCACCAGTGCGCATGCTGTAAAATCGGAACAAGATGGCGGCATCTGGAGGAGCAAGGTACTTGTTTTTTTCAACATTTTATCACGTTTTACTTTTCATTACCATTCATGTTTTTTATTATTTAGGAAGGGCAATGCCTCTAAAATTTAGCATGAGCTGCCGATCGACCATAACTACAGTCCCAGACAGGGGCGGATGATGGATTCAGCTTTTTTCAAAGGGGCGTAATTCCATGAATTGCCTATAAAATTGGTAGATTTTCACGCCGAGTGGAGTGATGCAAAGCAAATTTGGACGATTTTATGACATTTTATGCAAAAAATGATACTGTTTCAGATCAAAAGAGGGGAGGGGAGTATGCCCTCTACCAGAGTTGGTAAATTTACCAGCCTGCCCGAGGATGCACGGCTGGTAACTTTCAAACAGGGCTTGCTATTTTTTCCCAAATTTGTATAGCTATATAAATAGCAGAAATTTTTGTTCAGGATTGGCTTGAAATATGAATGAATTTGCTACCCTTACATAATTTCCCATTCTCAACTCTAGAAGTATGAAAGCGATTTAATGAAAATATGTGGTCAGTCACTGTGGCTCTTTTATTTCAAGAATGCATGGACCTCATTTGATGAGCAGTTTGCAGTTATAGCCTTCTATTTCCATTTTAATAGTAAAAAGGATTTGTCTGATCACGGAGTATGACCAGTGTTTGATCTATGTTTGAGAAAAGTTTTTTTCATTCAAAGTCCACGATGGATGATTACAATGATAAAAAATGTACATGTAGTTGTAAACAAGGTTTCCAGAAGTAAGCAGCGGGAATGTCTTACGAAATCCATCGCTGAGAATGCTGCATACATTACAAGGCTTAAATATAAGGAACAGGATCCGATTATGCATGCATTGTTTTATGTTTGTAGAAATTTTCTGTCCAATTCAAGTAACAAAGACCAACCCTTGTTCGATGCAGGGCTCAGAAAAGACCATAAATAACTCTTTCATGCACGTTATAATATACGACTATATTGTCTTACATTGTATACAGTTCTTTTACTAATTTTGTTTTCACTTTGAGAATATTATTTTATAAATATAACGAAAAAAAAATTCGCTGAACTATTGTACATTATTGTTTAGGGGCCAGCTGAAGCCCGCCTCCAGGTGTGGATTCTCTCACTTGTTGAGACCCATTGGTAGGCTTGCAAAGTTGGGTCACAGGTAAATACACATACCAGAATATAAACCTGGAATGTGTTTCAAAATACAAGTACCTGGGTTTATATTTAAGCTCATCTGGCTCATTTAGTTATGCTCAAAGTGAACTGTACAAGTATCCTTAAAAGCTTATTATCAATTGCGGAAAGATTTTTTATCTCTAAATCCTAACATCAAAACAAGTATTCATGCTTTTGATCACACTGTGAAACCTATTTTATTATATGGTAGTGAAGTATGGGGAATGTTTAATTCTCTTTCCTCTAAATGTAAGAAGGAAGATGTATCTCTTGAAAAATTATATTCAGGTTTACCCGGTGAGAAACTTCACATTAAATTTAACAAATTTATACTTGGTGTGCACAAAAAAACAACAAATGTTGCGTTAGATTTCCAATTTATTTTAATATAATTAAAGCGATGCTATTGTATTGGTATCGATTAGAGAATTTAGGAAGTAATTTTCCTCTATTGAAAGAGGCATATGAACAATTTAAAACACTTCACCAACTGAATAAAACATCATGGTATGGTTCAATAAATGTTATATTGAAGTTACTTGGAATTGATTGTACAAATGAAATGCAGTGTGTGAAACCTTTTGTTTTTCTTACTCGCCAAATTGACGAGCAGCTTTTCATTTCAACTCACCAAATTGAAATTCCACTTGCCAGCTTGGAGAGTGACTTACTTTTGGGACTCACCGTCTTTTTCATACATAATTATTAAAAGATATTATTCCAAGTCCACTTACTAAATGTATGTACTTATGTACATTAGTTTTATCCATAACTGGTAACTTGACAATTTAAATTACTATTAACATATAGTAGTCTCAGTTATATAAGGGAGCAGTCAACTTATCTTTTGATTAACTTGGGAGAGGGGTATCAAATAGATTTTTACCACAGCTGACAAGTCAAAAGTTATTTTTATGTCATAACCAGATCTAGACTTCCTTACCTCAATGATTATGGATAAATCTTAGTACAAATGCTGGATTTTGAGCAGCCTCTTCTACTATAATTGTCACTTTTTTATTTTATAAAAACATGAATATTACACTGTGTGGAAAAGTTCTGCACCAAAGGCTTTTTTATATTCAGTTTCTGGTTTTGCTTTTTTATTTAGTTTCTTTTGTTTTTTTAAATTATTTAGCCTTAAAAACTTTTCCATATTGAAATTACTATTTCATAATTTGCCTCCAGATTGAACTTGTTTAACATTCAGAGAAGTATAAAAAATGGCTTTCAAATCTGGTCAACGAATACAATGTCCATCCTGTATTTTGCTTAGGCAACAACCATTTTCTTATCTGGGGGGGGGGGGGGGGGGGGGGGGGGGCTGGGATTTTTTTGAAAAAAATATTTTGATGGCCTAGCTGACCGAAAAAAAATTTAGATTTTGCACTGTAGCTGAAATTTTTTTTATGGTTTTGTGAAAAACATGATAGGAAAAAAAAATTTTGCTTTCCTTTTCATAAGAAAAAAAAAATTTTATCGCAGGAAGGTTCTGAAAAAAAAATTATGAACACAATGAAAATCCCAGGCCCCCCCAGATAAGAAAATGGTTGTTGCCTTAAAATAAACATACATGGACCATAGGAAAGTAATAAAATTATAAAATGTTTTATTTGTAACCCACTGATAGTCCCCACTGTATGCAAATTACATTTATTTTAGTCATTTCAAGAAATTAAAATCAGTGAGGTGGGGATCGTATAATAGGTTTTAGCACGCTGATTCAATGAAGTGTCAAGGTCGTCATAATAATGTTTTAGTTTGCCATCACTTCCTGGGTATATGCACAAGGATATGTCTTTTTTACCCTCTTTGCCATGGTATTTGCCTTTTTACCCTTCACACAATGCCTGATCATTTGTGTGTTTTATTAAATACAGTTAGTGAAAGAATTATGGTATAAAATCAAATATTTAACTTAATCATCCATATTGATATGCAGTGTAATTAAACAAATAATGCCCCAAGGGTGACTGCATGGGGAATAGAAATATGGTCACTACAGGTCTTCTTCCGACCGGCAGTAAAACCCTTCCCAAAGTGGGGCGTCCATTTGGCTGTGCGGGATGTATCAAGTATGCAGCCACGTCCGGTCAGAAGGGGACGTTAAATCTGATGCCTCGTGGAGAGAGTGCCACGCTCTCTGCACGTTAAGAACCCTTTTAACAACTCTCTGAGGGGTCCGTAGGTGGCCTGTTGCAAGGCAAAATTTCTGTCCCTATCCAATATACCCTCATTTTCCAGTGGCAGCAGGGGTGTGGAAATGCTATGCCCGACTCGCCCGACTCGTCCATTTGAACAACCGGACAAGTAATTTTTGTCGAGCCTCGACATAGGGATAGTGATCCAGCAGCGGCGGCGACGTTAGCTAACTTCTTAAATGCTTTATATTTTAGAAGCTAGAAGACCTGGATGCTTCATACTTTGTATATAGATGCCTTATGTTACGAAGTTACTGTCTGTCATATGTCAATTGTCCTTGACCTCATTTTCATGGTTCAGTGACTACTTGAAAAAAAAGTCAACATTTTTTGTAATGTTAATTTCTTTCTTATTATGAGTAATAGGATAACTATATTTAGTATGTGCGTACCTTGCAAGGTCCTCATGCCCGTCAGACAATTTCCATTTGACCTCGACCTCATTTCATGGATCAGTGAACAAGTTAAGTTTTCGTGTTCAAGTCCATATATCAGATACTATAAGCAGTAGGTCTACTATATTTGGTATATGGAATAATTGTAAGGTGTACATGTCCAACTAGTAGGTGTCATCTGACCTTGACCTCATTTTCATGGTTCAGTGGTCAAAGTTAAGTTTTTGAGTTTTGGTCTTTTTTTCTAATACTATATGCAATAGGTCAACTATATTTGGTGTATGGAAATATTTTATGATGTACATGTCAGTCTCGCAGGTTTTATTTGACCTTGACCTCATTTTCACGGTTCATTTCTCAGTGTTAAGCTTTTGTGTTTTGGTCTGTTTTTCTTCAACTATAAGCAATATATCAACTATATTTGTTGTATGGAAGGATTGTAAGGATTATATGTCTGTCTGGCAGGTATCATCTGACCTTGACCTCATTTTCATGGTTCATTGGTCAATGTTAAGTTTTCATGGTTAAGTTTGTTTCTTAGATACTATAAGCAATAGGTCCACTATATTTAATGCATAAATTGATTGTTAGGTGTACATGTCTGCCTGGCATGGTTCATCTGACCTTGACCTCATTTTCATGGTTCATTGGTCAATGTTAAGTTTTCTTGGTTAAGACTGTTTCTTAGAAACTATAAGCAATAGGTCAACTATGTTTGGTTTATTGAATGATTGTAAGGTGTACATGTATTTCTCGTTTGGTTTATCTGACCTTGACCTCATTTTTTTGGATCATGTTAAGTTTATGTGTTACTTGTACTAAAGCTTTATATTTAGGACTATCAACATAAAATCAATGGTTAGTAAAGAAGGCGAGACATTTCAATGTGTGCACTCTTGTTTTTGTCTGGGTTGCCCGTGGACAAGTAAAAAATTACAGTTGACAAAATTCATTTAATCAAAAATATAGAATTATTTTCATAATTTATTAAGATGTATTATTTTATGTAAAAGAAACCAATGATCAACACGTGAAAAACATATATTTAAATCAAAACATCAATGTTCATGATGACAAGTATAAAAAAAAAAACGGAAATAGATCGATAACCAAAATTAATAAAAATAAGGCCACATTTAAAAATATTTTGGTTTGCCCAAACCCTACCCAAAGGTAGAGACAGTGGGTAGGTAGGTAGGCATTTTCTTTTTTTTTTCTGCAAAGAGAAATTGAAGTGTCAGATGTTTGTCATGTTTGTTAGTCTTCATGCCTATCTGATTAAAAAAAACTTTTTCACATCAGGACAATAAAAGATTTTGAGTAGGCAGCTATTTTCTGGGTAGGTAGGGTTAGGGCAAACAAACATATTCTTTTTTATGGCCTAAGTATGCGAACCCGGGTCTCATAAACATTGCGATATCTTTGTCCATTGACCCTGGATCGTCGATTAGGTTTTATTTGCCATCTCACAGAAGTGTTATTTTAATTTTTCATGATTGCATGGGTCTTAGCGAGATGGATAAATACCTGATAAAAACACCAAGACCTGGTGATCAAGACAAAAAGAATGAAAATAATAATGACGAGTCGAGTAAAAAACGGAAAACACAGGTGGAGAAAGACGAGGAATATGAAAAAAAAAACAAAAACAGAAGCGAGAATTCCAGACCTCGTGGCTCTTCAGTGAGAAACTTCTGAAAATAAATTAAATTTTTGCACAATTTGTAGGAAATGCCTACATCTTGCTGATCAAAAGTCTTACTTATTTGTTGGCAAATTAATAGATAGAAGGGACACCAAAATCAATGTTCTGCAAAACACCAAGCTTGTCTGATGAAAGAAAACAGTAAAATTAAACAGGTGTCTGGGGAAATGGACAAAACATTGCCCTCTAGATGTCTTTTGGTTGTTTTGCTTTTGGGTTTCTATATGATTGATGTTAACCCCATACCACCTTTTATTTATTCACAAACAATATCACAAACATCATTTATATTGTAATACAAAACAGTTTTACGGTGACCTATAGTTGTTAAATTCTACGTAATGTGGTCTCTGGTAGAGCAGTCAGAGCTCAGACATAAACAAGTCGTTTTTTGTTTTTGACTTACAGAAGTCAAAAAATGTATTTATTATAAAAATGTGTTTTCATTTTCAGACTGATTTAAGTCAGAAAATGACAGACTTGTTTAGGTCTATTTATGTTTATGAAAAGACTTAATTTTAATTGGTGGCCAAAGTGCACCACCTATGACATCATAAACCTGTCTGAGAGTTCACAAGGACCTGAGCTATCTGTATATAATCATGTAATTGAACATTTTTACTTAACATAAGATTATTTCCTCATTTTGTGTGGTTATAGATGGTTGAATTGTAAAGTAAATAAACATTATCTCCGTTTTTTTAGGCTCTCATGCATATTTTTCTTTAGAAGACAAAGCATTGTCTTTCAATGTTGTCATAATTTCATGTAGATGCATGACCTTTTTATAAATATGCTTGGGTCTTGAAGTTGACCAATTTTGGTAACTTATCGACTTGTAGGAATCAATATTTGCAACTTTTTAATTCAGGTCAAATATTTCTTGCTTAACACTAATTGACTTATTGAAGTCATAATTTGTCTTAAATTAAAGGGAGACAAATCTTGAAACCTACAAATATAGACCTCTACGAGTCAAAAGCAGATTTAGACTTATTTATGTCTGAGCTCTGACTGTAGAGAGTTGTCTCATTGCATGCAATCATACCACATCATTCTATTTTTCTAGTAAGAATCATACATGCTCATAGTAAAATACTTCAATATTTATAGGGAAATTCAGGGCAATTAACTTTTTTTCTGGACAAGTAAAATTTACAGTTTAACTTGCCCAGGGACAAGTGCTCACAACAAAAATTTCCACACCCCTGGGCAGTCTAAATTTCCCTGACCTTCATCCCGGACGGCCTCTATTACAGGACCTACCTATTATATTTATTGTTAATTAATTTGTTCTCGTCCTGAACATGCATGAAATATTTGCCACTGGACATTAAGCAACCAACAATCAATCAATTTAACAAGTAAAAAATATGTGAACATGATATATATCTGTTCAATTATATGGTTAGAATTTTATATATATGTATAAGATACACCTATGAGCGCGTAAGCCCGATTGGGTGAATCTAATTTACACCAAGATATTATTGTGAATGCAGAATGATAGTTTTCCATAATTTAGGAGGGGGGTCTTTCAGCGATTTGACCATATGTTATAGAAAAGCATGATAAATGCAGGATATCCAATTTCATTTAACGACATCTTGGTGTAAATATATATCTATATCTTTTAAACCTACCAATATTGTTTGGTTTCTATTGCAATGACTGTAGGTAAAATAACATTCATTGCTGAAATATATCCAAATTAGAAATGTGAATACATAAGCAACACAACAGGTGCCACTAGTGCCGCAGGAACTGCTTACACTCCCAGAGTACCTGTCCACCCCTACTTTTTTTTATAAAAGGGTTTATGCTGCTCAATCTTAATTTTCTGTGAAGTGTTTTATTAAGTTGTCTGTATTTCTGTTGCTTTTCTTATTCACTATGGTGTTGTCTGTTTTTTTCATTGCCCTATGGTATCTACTTTCTCTTTTTAGACCGGTCATTTTTTGTTACATGTATGTATTAGATGTAAGCTTCTCATATCTGAGGGTCGTCAGACCCGAAGATATGAGACGATTACATCTGATTTACATAGAAGTAATAAATAAATATTTCATCTTTTCTCTTGTTCTAAAAAAGAGCAATTAGTTTTTTTTATAAAACAGGAAAAGTGTCATTATCTCAAATTTTCCAGATGCAGTAACACTTTCAGAAGATGTTTTTTTTTTATATGGATTTGGAATGAAATCTTGATTGCGTCTATTTTTCTGTCATCAAATTGATACCTTATCACTGCTTTTGTATGGCAACATGAATCGCTGTACTATCTTGTCTTTTTTCTGGTTTAGTTGCCAAAACCGGAACTTTTTGCTGATAAATGATAACACTTCTATATATAAATACCCTAATAAAAGCTATAATTACCAAAGTCCTCCTTTCCATACATCTTCTCTTTTTTAACTGTGATATACATGTATTTAGTTGATTTTGACAACTCATGTTCACGGATAGCTTGGTGAACTTCCTCCAAGGAATGTACACATAGAACCTCATATGTATGCAGATGTATCTGGGGTAGTAAGTCAGCAATCAGGCAAAAGTAGCTCACTTGGACCCACATTTCATTTGGAACAGAAATCAGATTTTGCAAACACTTCGAAAACATGACGTAGGTTATCCACCATGATTGTGCACCTTCTATTTTAAATTTTAATTCAAATGAATTTTGGGGTTTCCCATAGCAAAACATCACATAGGGGGGAGCAGGGGGTATCATTTAGTGAGCTTTGCTCACAGTATTTCTGGTTATATTACATATTAAATGCTGTTTTGTTCATAAAAAGACAAAGTGTTAACTTTGAAGAATGTCGTACATGTATTAGAATTTGGATTTTAGCATGATACTTATTATATCGTAGGTTGAGGAAAAGGAAGAAAGATATCGATGGACATGGTGGATTGGAATACAGATCAGACCAGACGGCGGACAGTCAAATAGGTATATCATGGTGATTATGGAAGTTGCTGTTTTTGCCTTGTTGCTATTGTAGTCTTGCCCATTTGTGTACAGATCATTGTGTCTTCTATCCATGTAATATTGTATACACAATTTCTAGTGTTATCCCCATGCAGGCCTTTAGGGTTTTCGACTCCTTCTTGTTAGAGAACTAATTAACAGAATTTGACCAAACTTGGTAGAGATTATCCCCATGAGGTCCCTTCCAATTTGTGTGACTTTGGTGCTGTTTCGTCAAAAAGCATGGCTGCCAGGACTAATCATGCTAATTGAATTTTCTTATTGGCCGATTTTCTAAGATCTTCTTGAGAACCCATGCTGGATTGAACTGAAATTTGGTAGATATGTTCCCATTGAGATGTCTTAATCAAGTTAATAAGTGTTGTTACTTTAGTAGTTGTTTGAAGATTGTAAATACATATAGCCACCAACCGAGGTCAAAGTTTACCATGTTACCCTGAAATCCTATTGGGAATGACATTTTTGTCTCGCCTGCAACAAATAGTCTCGGTATGCGAGACATTGGGATTACAATCCAGTAGCAGTGGCAGCGGCGTAAACTATTTGTATTAGGCTTTTATATTTCGGAGGTTAGTAGACCTGGAGGCTTCATACTTTGTATATAGATGCCTTATATTACAAATATTCCGTCGGTCATATGTCCATTGTCCTTGAACTGATTTTCATGGTTTAGCGACTGCTTGAAAAAAAAGTAGTTTTTTTGTTACATGAATTTCTTACTTACAAATGTATTATCATGATTATGAGTAAAATGATAACTATATTTGGTATATAGGTTCCTGACAAGGTCTACATGTCTGTCAGACAGGGTTAACCTGACCTCAACCTCATTTTATGGATCAGTGATCAAGGTTAAAGTTACATGATCATGATGATTAAGGTCCGTTTCTTAGATGCGGTAAGCATTAGGTCAACAATATTTGGTGTATGGAATGATTGTAAGGTGTACATGTCAGTCTTGCAGGTTTTATCTGACCTTGACCTCATTTTCAAGGTTCATTGGTCAATGCTAAAATTTTGTGTTTTGGTCTTTTTTTTCTAATGCTATAAGTAATAGGTCAACTATAGTTGGTGTATGGAATGATTATAAGGTGTTCATGTCTGTCTGGCAGAGTTCATCTGACCTTGACCTCATTTTCATGGTTCATTGGTCAATGTTAAGTTTTCCTGGTTATGTCTGTTTCTCAGTTACTATAATTTAGCAATAAGGCCAACTATAAGTGATATATGGGATGATTGCAAGATGTACGTGTTTGTCTGGCAGGGTTCATCTGACCTTGACCTCATTTTCATGGTTCATTGATTAATATTAAGTTTTGGTTTGGTATGTTTCTTGTATACTATAAGCAATAGGTTAACTATATTTGGTGTATACATGTAATGATTGTAAGGTGTACATGTCTGTTTAGCTTGGTTTATCTGACCTTAACCTTTACCTTATTTTAATGGATCATTGATAATGTTAAGTTTATGTTATACTTGTTGTAAAACTTTATCTTTAGGACTTACAACATAGAATAAATCATATAAAGCAGGCGAGACATTTCAGCATGTGCACTCTTGTTGTCTTCTGTTTGAGAATTACTAATCAGAATTTGTCATTATTTGACCAAACTTAGTAGAGATCCTTCCTATGATGTCCTCAACAAATGTTGTTACTTTGGTGCCAATTTGTCAATAAATATAGTTGACAATCATTATCTGAAGTGGGGGAATGCTTTAGTGGGTGGGACATATTATTTTTTTTCGTGACAAATACACTTTTTCAGCTTTATTCTATTAGATGGATGGATGGATGGTTGCTTAACGTCCAGTGGCAGGTCAGATGCATATTCAGGACGAGAGCATGATAATGAGAAATGAATACTAACCCTGCTTTGTACTAGACCGACACGCTGAGCCGGATTTTTTACGTGCTAGCTCACAAGGTAACAGTTCGCAGGAAGACATGTCAACCTACCCGGACACATTATTCTGATTCCGGGCCGACCAGTCTTTGCTCTTACTCCTTAATGCTGCGTGCTTAGCGGAGATTCAGCAAATACCAATTTTCAAGTCTTTGGTTTGACCCGGCCGCATTTCGAACCTACGACCTCCCGCACTCGAGGCGAGCACGCTAACCGTTACACCACCGAGGCGGTCTATTCTATTAGAAAAAAACAATTTATTTTTATTACATACTCTAATATCAAAAAAAATATTTATTGGCTCTTCGCGGTTAGAAGTGACAATGCATGCTGGGAATAATTGGTAGCTAATTTCGTACCAAATATAGACTAAATTAAGACATGTGATTGGTTTAATTAAGCACATGGAAACTTTAATAGTTTTGATTAAATAAATAAAAGGTATGAAATGGTCAGGGTACGAAATGGTTTTTGACAAGGTACGAAACTGAGGGTACAAAATGATTAGGGTACGAAATGGTTTTTGACAAGGTACGAAATTGAGGGAACAAAATGATTAGGGTACGAAATGACTATAATTCCAAAATGGGTCACCCATTCACAATTCCAAAATGGGTCACCCATTCACAAGTTAATTTTAACAACTTGAACACTAACGTCTTGGTGAGCAAATATTTTCCTTACAACTCTGAAGTGATATACACATATATTTCTATAAATAGACTGAAAGCTGGTTATCGATCGATTTGAGATCAGAATCTAGTGTCACAAATTACATCCCTTGCAAGCAAAACATTATTATGTAATCGTCGTCTTGAGTTGATAGATTTGATAGTAATAACTGAATTACAGGCTCCTGACTTTGGACAGGCGCAAAGTAAATCATGTACCCTGTAATCACATCCGGTCCTCAGTTTTTGGTTTGTGACCTTATCTTCTAAATTCGATTTATGATTACCCTTTCAAGTATACCCCCCCTCCCCCCCCCCCCTTTTCAACATATAGGCTAACCACACAGATTCACAGTTCTGTCATCAACTGACCAATTCTTATAAGTTTATCCCTTTTCCCACCTTCCATCAAAAATCAAAACCAATTTTGTAAATATTTCTTTTCCTTGAAAATAATCCCATAATTTTTCTGTGCAGATTTAATTCCACATTGTTGCATAAGTAGAAACATTACAAATAACCTATAACCATGGAATGGGGATTGTTCGCCAAACATAACATTTTTGCCCTACAACCATTCGCCCACAGAGTCTGTTAACCCTGGGTTCATTTGCCCTCTTTTTAAATTAATACATTTTTATTAGTAAATACAAGTGATATTTGGTTTTTGAATTCATATATCAGGAACGTGCGGTCAGAAAGGGGATGTTAAATCTGATGCTTCGTGCAGAGAGAGTGCAACAAACTCTACATATTAAAGAATCATTGCAACAACTGTTTGAGGTTCTGTAGGTTGCCAGTTGCAAGGCTAAATTTCTGTCCCATTTCCAACATTGATCGCTAATTTCCAGTGGCAGTCCAAATCCACCCCTCCTTTCCTGGTAGGCCTACCTTGCACAGAATCTTCCTATTGTATTTATTGCTAATTTGTTCTCTCCCTGAGCATGCATGAGGTATTTTCCACTGGACATAAAGCAAACAACAATCGATCAATCATATACATGTATCATTATACCAATACATGTATATATACAACACAACAAAATTAAGGACCATTTTACTTTGGGGAAGGGTTTAATATGGTTTTTTTTCCATTTTGAAAATTTATTATGAAACCATGCAAGCATCAATTTATTTGGGTTTTTTTCATACAAAGTGAGAATTTTTTTAAAGAACTAAACATTTTGAAAATTTAATGACAAATACTCTGAGTATGAAACAGAATTTTTTTTCCCTTCTCCCCTATCAAAATATTTTTTTCTTCGATGTTGGGAATCAGATTATTTTTTCATTACAAAAAAAAAAGGAGAAAAAAGCCATCGGTCAGAAAGAAATAGTAACTTTTATATGCATGATCCACAAAGTACTAATATAAAAATAAGGAATTGCGGTATGATTGCCTTTTTTCCTTCAAAGATTTTTATAGAGGTTAAAAAGAGGGGGGTGCACTTACTATGTATGGGTTGTAGGGAAACAACTGATGAGTCCCATCGAATATAATAACATTTTAACCAGTGTAAAAGGGACAAAACTCCCAAGGCCAAACAGACGCTAAATCTGTTTATTGCACTTTTGGTATCATATATATGATTACCAAAAATTTTCTCTAATATTCTGATGTATTAAAGTATTGCTTTTTATATCTTGCATTAAAATAAAATTTAAAAAGATTTGATCAGTTTTTATTTTTACTTAAATCCTTTAAATTTAAGTTTGGCCTTAGGAGTCCAGGCATGATGAAAACAAATACCAAATGCAGAGCCAACTAATGCGTTCCATGACAAATGATTACATTTTTAACAATGTAAATTAGATGAAACTCACAAGGCTAAACAGATGCTAAATTTATTCATTGCATTTTTATTATCATTATCAAACTTTTTCACTGAAATTCTGAAGTATTGACCCTTTTTATCTTGCATTAAATTCATATTTCAAAGTTTCGATCAAATTTTATTTTTATTTAAATCTTTTAAATTTCAGTTTGGTCTTGGGAGTCTAGGCATGACAAAATCAAATATGCAACATATTTGTAGAACCACATCAGTCATAGTAATTTTCAAGTGTTTCTCCTGAGAGTTGTCCTTCATTGTTAATGTTTTGTGACTTCCTGATGTGTCTGCAGTATTACTATTTCAATGTGAAACAGTGTCCACATTCGCCCACCAGACAACACAACAGAATTTTAGATTTTGGAGTGCAAATGCGCCTGCTGGCACCCACAAGAATCCACCCCTGCACAAGTCATTATCAAAATTCGCCATCAGACAGCACAAGTCTGTGTCCACATTTGTAACATATAAGAAGAAATATTTTTGAAACAAGATGTTAAAAGGCCACACCAAATTAATTTCTAGTTCTTCGGACCCCTACTGTAGAATAAGAGGAGTGAACATGAATAATTTTATTTTACTCGCATGACATAATTATTGTTGTTTTGTAGACAGTGACACAGAAGATGACTACATTGATGTTAGAAAAGCAAAGCACAAAATAGATGAGAACAAAGAATTAATTAAAATATGTTAAAGGCATGAAACTTGGACAGAAGCTTAACAGTATTCAGAGGAAAATTTGAAAAGTATTTATTCTCATTTTCCGTGTTTTATTGATAAATGGACATATTTTTTCTGCATCTAACATTGATATACAATCTAAGATTAAAGTTTTTCAAACACCAATAACCATTATAAGATTTTACGAAACTTTGACAGATGCTTCTTATGATCAAAAGACAGTATCAAGAACAATATTTTGAAATTATTTTTTCATTTTCCCTAATAAACATGATAAACTGAATAATAGAAATTTACAAATGGACTTAAAGTCTTGGGTTAAATTTTTATGACATCAATAACTATGTTTATCCTTCATGGAATGTTACGAAACTTAGACAAGTATCTCCATGATTAAGAAATAGCATCTGAAAAAAAACATTAGATTTACAAAAGAAAATTCAGATATAACTGATAAATGGACAAGTTTGGTTGTTGGCAACCTCACACTTTAACATCAACAGCAGCAATAGCAGGCGAGACACATGATTACGCCAAACCCATTAAAAATTTATATTTATCCAACATATACACTTATGTTGAAAAAGACTTATCTGACTTTACGTCAATACTATCTACTGTTCACTAATGTTGAAATTAGTTATCTGAGTAAATTTATAATTTTTCAAGTTTTCTTTTTTTTCAAAAAAGGAAAGTTTGTTATATTGTCACTGAATAAAAGATTTGGCATATGTATCAATGAGACTTCAAATCATGTCTTTCCATTTAAGACCAGGCGATATTTAAAAAAAGTCTGTTCCCCAAACCTTGGTCATGGTTTTTAGATAGAATAGACTGGCAAGTATTTTTTTAGAATTGCAAGGCTCTGATATTTCTCCAAACAACTTTATCTTTTATTCTTTTTAATTTTAGCCAGGAAACATGAAAAAGCATCAAAGGTATTAAAAGACAAGGAGACTGACTTCAATGTTATAAACAGCCTTGTGAGAAAAAATGTTTAAGTACCAGTAACATTCAGACAATACAGACCTGTCAAGCTATGTTGTATAAAAAGACCCATGAGGAACAGTCAGATTTCATTGAGTGAAACATAAGGTATACTCAATATATATATATATGAATAGAATTTATTTGATTGTTTGATATGCAACAATACTTGGATTTATACAATTTCATAATGCTATATAACATGCTATAATTTGGTTGAGAAAACCATATTAAACCACCAAACCAATAACTGGCAAGTACATGTACTTTCACATACTGATATACTGAGTGTACATGCTGCCTTCTGCTTATAGCTACCTTAACTTATTAAGAAGTCTAATAGAACTTAATTTAAAGTAAGTTTTATTTAGATATTTTTTTGTTTTGTCTGCAACAAAGATAGCAGACTTCTGGTAGAAAAATAAAAAGATGTGGTATGATTGCCAATGAGACAACTCTCTACCAGAGACCACATGAGGTAGAATTTAACAACTATAGGTCACCGTACGGCCTTCAACAATGAGCAAAACCCATACCGCATAGTAAGCTATAAAAGACCCCGAAATGAAAAATGTAAAACAATTCATACGAGATAACTAATGGCCTGATTTATGTACAAAACAATAAACGAAAAACAAATATGATATACAGCAACAAACGACAACCACTGAATTACAGGCTCCTGACTTGGGACAGGCACATACATAATGTGGCGGGGTTAAACATGTTTGAAGGCGCCAACCCTCCCCTAACCTGGGACAATGATGCAACGACACAACACAAGAACAAACTATGGTGTTTATTTTCTAAAAAATAATATGTCTCATGATACATACAAATAATGTAGGGATATCCTTTGTAAATTTTACTCATTTCTTTCAGATCAGATGAAAACATGTGTTCTTGAGATCTATTTACATTTTTCCAAGTGATTTTTATTTTTGTACACAGGTGCAATGATGCCAGTTTAGAAGACAAACAGTTGACTTTTGTGCTGACTGGTAGGAGAGTATGTGAATATGCATGGAGGATTGTGTATGGCATAAAAAGAAGGAGGTATAATACCATATTAGTATGAATAAAATAGTTAATAGGCTACACATCCATAAGACAGCAACCCAACATCAAAAGTAGCGATTCAACATTCTGTTGTAGTTTGCCTGGTTAATTTTTAATATATACAACATTTGTATTTAAAAAGGAGATGTGGTATAATTGCCAATGAAACAACTATCCATGACGAGGATGCAAACAACTACATGTCACTGTAAGGCCTTTAACAAAGAAAAACCCATTTTGTATAGTAAGCTATAAAAGCTCACAGAATGTGAATCAATTCAAACAAGAAATCCAACAGCCTAATTTATGCTAAAGCAATAAACAAAAACAAAATATGACAGACAGCAATCAACAACCATTGATTTACAGGGTCCTGACTTGGGACAGGCACATAAAGAATGTGGCAGGGTTAAACATATTCGAGCTGGCTGAACCCTCCCCCTAGTATGCTCAGTCTGTGGCTCCATTTTTTAGACATAAATAACTTTTGTCAAACACTCATGTAATTTATACCAAGGGTGCCACATGTGGAGCAGGATCTGCTTACCCTTCCGGAGCACCTGAGATCACCCCCGGTTTTTGATGGGGTTCGTGTTGCTCAGTCTTTAGTTTTCTATGTTGTGTTTTGTATACTGTTGTTTGTCTTTTGGTCTTTTTGCATTTTTAAGTAAAAGTTAAGGTACAGTCTGGAGGTTTTTTTTTAACAATTTACTTGAACGGTGTTCAATTTCCACAGTTAAAACAAATTGAAAAATGTTTGTTATGACAAAAGGTTTGTATGGAATAATATTCAGAACAAAGGTGTTGGTTTATGAACATGATGAAGGGTCAATAATGGCTCTTAAATTCATTGAAATTCATTTCAAGGTATAATCAGTAAAAATCTGATAACAAAATATGCAGATGTCTAAATCATATCTGAAAAATAGGAAATCATCAAGGTCTGACACATCTCAACAGTAATTATGCCAATGCTTTACCTAAAAACATATGCTATCAAAATTTTTTTACAAAGATGTTAATGTGTATAAAATATATTTTTGGGTAAAGTCATGACAGACATCAATTTTGTCCAAAGACTATGTGTTAAATGGTCAAATATGTTAATGTCAACATGTTTATGAAAAAAAATTTCCTTTCTGCACTCAAGTATAAAATAAGTAATGTGGTATGATTGCCAATGAGACAACTATCCTATAGAGTCCAAATGACGTGGATTTAAGCAACTAAAGGTCACCTTAGGCCTTCAAAAATTAGAATAATTACTATATTTCAACCTTTTTATTTATAAAAAAAAAATGAACTTAATGTTGAAAGTCTTGAATAACTTAACTTTTTTTGAAATTTCATTGGCCTGATAAAGGCTATTTATATCATACCTCCTGCTTTATGGCAGATAGTTAACACTTCCGTCATATAAAAAAAATGTCCATTCATGCATAAATTAATAATTGTACATAGAATTAAATAGATGTCCTTTTTGTTGAGCCTGCGACATTTATGTCGCGAAAGCGAGACATAGCGATCCTAGATTCCTTCGTCGGCGGCGTCAATATTTAGGTTCAGTCTGTGGTTAAAGTTTTTTTAGACATCAATAACTTTGTCAAACCTTCATGGAATTTTAGGAAATTCGGACAGAAGCTTGTTTATGACCAAAATACAGTATCCAGAGCAAAATTTTGAAAATATTTATTTTCATTTTTCCGTATTTTACTGATAAATGGACTTAGTTTTTTTTTTACAGTTAACATTCAGATTTAGTCTGAGGTTAAACTTTTTCAGTCATCAATAATTTTGTCAAACCTTCATGGAATATTAGGAAATTTGGACAGAAGCTTGTTTATGACCAAAAGACAGTATCCAGGGCAAAATTTTGAAAATATTTATTTTCATTTTTCCGTATTTTACTGATAAATGGACTTAGTTTTTTTTACAGTTAACATTCAGATTTAGTCTGAGGTTAAAGTTTTTCAGTCATCAATAACTTTGTCAAACCTTCATGGAATTTTAGGAAATTGGGACAGAAGTTTGTTAATGACCAAAATACAGTATCCAGAGCAAAATTTTGAAAATATTTATTTTCATTTTTCTGTATTTTACTGATAATGGACTTGTGTATTTTACTGATAAATAGACTTAGTTATTTTTACATTTAACAAATAGATACAGACTGGGGTTAAAGTTTGTTACACATCAATTACCAGTCAGGGGTGCTACTTAAACAAGTGATTTCATCATCACTTATTTCAGTGATTTGATAAATTCAGTTATCACCTATTTAAGTGATTTTAGTGTTTTCTTTGATCTTCAAATGCTAATTTCATTGATTTTCCATATTTTCACAATCTTTTCTATAATTTTCCTACATAAACCAATTATCCCTTTTTCTTTGTATATTAATTTCACCAGTGCGCTTGGGCAGTAAGTTAGTGCGCTAAAGCTTTTAAAAGTACCCTTGGGAATTTTTCTGTAATCAAAAATTCATTAACTACTCTTACTATCAGACAAAGATCAACAATATTAGGTAACCTGATTGGTTTTCTTTAGAGTTAGAATGATCTACTTCAAGGTTATGACCTGATCTACAAACTATTCCAGTTTTTGCATATTTTAAAAAAACTGTAAAAGTGTCAGGCTTATCAAGCAAAAGACAATTTCTGCATATACATAGTTGTTTTTTCAATGGAATTGTTGTCTTTTTACCAATAAAAAAATCAAGCTTGTGGGAAAAATATCAAGATAATGATATAAACACTTATTAAAGTGATTACATTTTAACTTCTAAAATTACTTGTTTCAGTGATTTTAAAAAGTCTGTGTGAAAATTTTTAATATTTCACAGCCAAAATCACTCGAGGGAGTGATTCTGAAATCACTTGTTTAAGTAGTACCCCTGACTGATTACTTTATCAAACCTTCATAGAATTTTATGAAACTTTGGCAGAAGCTTTTTTATGATTAAGAGATAATGTCCGAAGCAAACTTTTAAAAATTAATTTTTTCATTTTCAGTATTTTTCTGATAGATGGACTTAGTTTTTTACAGTTAACATTTACAGACAGTTTGGGATTCAACTTTTTTGACATGATAAATTTGTAAACCTTCATAGATTGTTATGTAACTTGGACAGAAGCTAATCTTCAAGACCATGAAAAAAGCATCTAAAGAAAAAGTTTGATTTTTTTTTTTAAATTCTGTATTTTACTGATAAATGGACTCACTTTTTAAGTCAACATTACACTTTTACACTGACAGCAGCAATAGCAGGCGAGACACAGGGTTCCGCAGAACCTCTTACGAATTTTTTATTTGTAGTATCAAAAGCTCAGCAAATGTAACGAGTGTGTAATCTTTAAAGAGACCATCAGCGAAAAACTGACAAAGATTGATTTGGGGTGCTGAAGGACAAGAGATGATCTAGAGCACATATGCTTCTTCAATAGTAAGAATTCTTTCCACACTTGAATATGAATTTCTTGTATTTTTCATGTTTAATGCAGATACATCCCCATTTTTAGCTCACCTGACCCAAAGGGCAAAGTGAGCTTTTCTCATCACTTGTCGTCCGTCGTTTTTCATTAAAATGTTCTCCTCTGAAAGTACTGGGCCAAATTTAACCAAACTTGGCCACAATCATCATTGGGGTATTTAGTATAAAAAAGGTGGTCAATGACCATGCCTGCCAACCAAAATGGCTGACAGGGCTAAAAATAGAACATAGGGGTAAAATGCAAGTTTTGTCTATTATCTTGAAAACTGCTATTAATAGAGATAAATCTGACAGGGCAGAAATGTTCAGAATGTTGTGATCTACCTTCTGTCCATTTACATCAAAACCGTCAGTTGACTCTTTATTGGAGTTATTGGTCTTAAATGGCGATATTTACCAATTTTTAGTGTTTTTGCCTATTATCTTGAAAACTATAAAAGATAGATACACTTTAAAAAGCAAAAATGATTAGCAAGACAAGATCTACAAACAAGTTAAATTTTGCTGAAATCTTTAGTAGACACTTTATATGAGTGATTGCCCTTAAATTACTGTTTTTTTTTACCCTTTTTTGTGTTTTGGGCAAAAACTAAAGAAGATGGAGAGAAACTATCAACAGAAAAATGATCAGCAATACAATATCAACAAAAAAGAGATTATTGTCATAAATTCTATTTTAGTCTACAATGTTGGAGAATGTCCATTGTTGAAGATGCACATAGACCTAGGTGAGCGACACAGGCTCTTTAGTTTAGTCACCCCCATGCATAGGTATAAAGATAGTTTACGCTTCCTAACATCACTACACCTTGATGTTGGGTAATGAAACCTGGCATGATTAATCACCACTTCTAGAAGGTGTGTTGGGTATAAGGAAGTCATGGTCATAGAATTAGCGCAACTTAGTCGTGCATCCATGTGCGTATTTATTTTTTTTAAATACATTTTTTTTCTCTAACTTTAAAACCCGTTTGAGTTTTGGGGTGTATTGATAGTGGTGCATCAGTGAAATTCTGCCATTTGTGGGTATATTGTATATATTTTGATTTTTTTTTCAGTCTCTGCAGAGAAAAATATTTTAAACACATCAAGAAATCCAAAGAACATCCAAGCATGTATACATCTGTTATCAGTGACAATATGGATCAGTCCAAAACAAATCTGCCAAGATTTACGTTACATTTTAAGGTGAGTTTATTTTGGAAGTGTGTATAAAATTGCAAAGTCCATTATGTCTATACAACTAGATTAAGGTTATCTGGTCTGACCACTGGGATGATACATCACTACATACTTCTTACATAATACATTTCATGGTAGTTACTTTTATGTATATTTCTGAAAAGAACATGATATTTCACTGCAATAATCAATTTCAATATTGAAAACGGGTTGACAGTGTTAGATTAATCATATTTGTACTTTATAAAATCACTTTTACAAATATTTGGTATATCATTCGAATGGTCTCTTTTAATTTTGCTACGAATGTCAGGCAAATGTTAGAATTTGTGATAAGGTCACACATGGGAAACCTATCTCTGTGTTGACATTTTATTTAGTACTATATTTACTTGTTATTAAATGATTGATTAACTTAAGGCGAAGCAGCAATCATATGAACTAACTGGATGTGTAGCTAAAATAAACATTCTGACAGGAAAAAAACTTCTAGCAGTATTTATTTTCTTTTAGGCATTTTGTATGAGACAAATATTATACCATTCTAGAAGAGGGGGGCTATATTGGTATCACCTTGTCTATCTGTTTGTACAACAAATATTTCGTTAAACTTTTCTAGAAACTACTAAACAGAATGACTTCATATTTGGTCAGCAGCTTGACAGTGATGACTTGTGATATGTGAAGCATCTGAAGATCTGTCAGATACCTACTTCCTGTTTGCTAATACTTTGAATTTTTCAATATTTGAATGAACTTAACCTTTTTTGTCACATTTTTCTCAGAAACTACTGAACACAATGACTTTTTATTTGGTCAGCAGCTCAACAGAGATGAGTTGTTAAGTGTGCACCTTTCAGATATGTCAGATAACTACTTCCTGTTTGCCAATATTTTGAATTGTGAGTGCATTCTGGTTTGAGTTATGAGCACATGTTTTTCAACAAATTTTTTTTCAGAATGAAACAACACTTGAAAAAATGCACCACCATGTCACAGGTGTTTTATGTCACGGATTAAATAAGGCATACACATTTACATGGACAGATCAGTTTTCCTCTGATTGTAATATCACCTTGAATTGTTTGATGTCTGTGTTAGGCGATGTAACAAAAGTAAGTATTAATTATCAAGTTCAAAGTGAAACAATTGACTAAAGTTCACATGCAGGAGAAAAACACATTTTTATTAACTTTACAATTTATGTATCTACAAGAAAGTCAAAGTGTATCGAAGCCACTTTTAGTCCATTAATTTTAAACATCAAAGAACCATCTACAATATAAAAATTAAGAGATGTGGTATGATTGCCAATGAGACAACTATCCAAAGAGTTCACATGATAAAGTCATGAAAAATAACAGATGAGTCCAATCTAGCATATCATATTAAATTGGAAATAATAATTTGACAAGGTTGCTTTAAAACCCTTAAAGTTAGATACATCGATATCACTAACAGTTATAAACTTATATGAACTTTTCATTATTGGACTGTGTGGTGCCAAGTTTGCAACAAGTATGGAAATCAGTATGAAATTTTGGTGGCTTCATTTTCATGACTATGATAAACATCATAAGAGGATAGGCCTATAATTGCTTTTCTTTTATGAATACAATTATAGTATTGTTCTTAACCCTGCTTTGTAGGCTTTTCTCAAAATCAATACTTAAAAGTCATTGACAGATGTGGTGGGTGTAATGTTGCTATATATTTCATATAAAAATAAGGATAGGTATGATTGCCAATGAAACAATTATGCATAAAGACTAACGGACAATGATATTGACTATTGCAGGTCAAAGTATGGCCTTCTGCAGTGAGCAAAACCCATACCCTATACTTAGCTAAAATGCCATGTGATGACAAAATGGAAAACAAATTCAAAAAAGAAAACCAACAGCATGCTTGTGTCAATCTCTTGCTGACCCTGATAGTTTTAAAAAACAATTCTGAAAGTCTATTTTGTTTACTTTTGCACTTGAACACTATGTAAATCTCATTTGATGGAGGATTATTTTCACATTCACATTTCTGAATTATATATATATCTAAATGCATGAACATTATTAATAATATAGTCTATAAATTTCAATTGCATTTTTATTTTCTGTGGTATTTAATGGTTTTCTTTATACCAAAAATTAAGTAAAATATTATGGAAATATAAGCAAAATTTTTGCCCGGGAAACCGGATTATAGTATGGTGATGATGGGCAGGCAGGCGGGCGGGGAAAAGTGGGTACCTAATTTGTGTAATCAACTCCACCTATAGTTTTCAACCCAGATCCCTGAAACTTCACAGGAAGATTGCACATATGTGAAAGTGCACCTGCTATTATGGAATTGTTTGAGGAATTTTTTCTCATTTTTCCAGACTTGGAAACTTAGTCATTTTTCAGCAAAATTTATGAAAGAGGGTACAAGTTTTTGTGTAATCAACTCCTACAGTTTTCAACCCAGATACCCATAAACCATTCTCCATTGTTTAAGAAACAATGTGTGCAACCTGGTCATTTTAGTCTTTGATCTATTTTTTTTCGAAGAAATATGATAAATTCACTGAAAAAGTGGAGAACAAATTGCCTATCTCATGATAAGAGGTGAAATGAAACAATTTATTCATGCAGTTTCACCATAAATTAACATTGTTGAAAATACATCTTTTCTTAAAATTCAGCTGTGTTACTTTAACATTGGCATACTTTATATGCTAGGTAATATGTCTTGTTCAGTATTAAAGGATTGGAAAACTTTTTATTGTAAAGATATCATGAATATATAATATGTATAGCTGTTTTTTTTCTTTTAGGAAAATGGTGGTTTACCTCCTACACTTTATATTCAAACTGATGACAACAAAAATAAATTTGTGATAATGTTCCTAGCAATATTGGTGAAAATGGAAATTGTAAAAAAGGTAATTATTTATTTTATTCTTTTGCATTTTTTTACTGATAGATGGACTTACCATGGTAACAAAATTTGGTATTTGAATATTATTATAGAAGTTCTTTTGCATACATGTATGATTTTTTTGTTATCCTTACTTCCAGTTACTGTTAAATTAAGACATTTCAGCATGCAAAACATTTTTAGTTCCAATATTCGTTTATTACAAATTTAAACACTTTATCACTATATCATGTATATGTTTGTCGTTACAAAATTTCACAAAATTTCCTATAAAATTATATCATCAAAAGAGAAAATGTTTCACATAACAAAGCAAAAGTGCTAGTCGTATGACCTTATAGTAGGTCAGATGTCACAGAATCTAAAAATCACAATTGATTCAATTGCTTAAAATGTACTGAAATTCTAAAGTTCATTTAAAAACACAGATTAAGAGTTCAACTTGATCATTTGATCAGTGACACTGCCTTGAGCAGCTTGTCAAGTTTGTAAATTGTCAGTAAAATGTATAGATGCCAAAAATTACGATTTTCAGTAATTGGAATTATTTCCCGACCATAGACCATAACGTGCTATAGTCCATATTTTGCTTGTTTTTGTTCTGTTAATTATTTTTGTTGACCAGAACAGTCCCCACTAGATATTGTGGTGATCATATTGAGACTTGATTTTCTGTTATTATCCTGCACCAAAAAAGGGTTGGCATCTATGTAATTTTATTTGAACTATATGAGAATTGGAATGGAAGCATTAGTTACTTATTTCAAATCTATATCTATTTATGATTTTTTGACAGATCAAGCTGACATTCCTCATGGTTGGTAGAACCGAATATGGAAAAAATTAGTGGTATCATTCTGTTGATGAGAACAGATCTACCAAAATGGGTAAAGAATGGTAAACTAAATAGAGAAGATGAACTTTGGTGGATCAACTACTTATCAGCCTTGGAGAAAGAAGACGTCCTGCGCCAAAGACTCCCTTGCCACAAAATATGGGAAGATACAAGAAACCACAACATCCACAACCAGCTATGGAGGATTATATGTTGGCGGCAATTAACAACCACATACAGACATTTAATAGGAACACCAATGTCAGGATTGTCACACATTGACCACGGGTTTAAGACCTCAAAACTGATTTTTATTACTGAATTGTATTTTTTATATTTTGTCTGTAATGAACCTCATAGGAACATTTGATAGATAAACCATCTTCTAATGAGCACTGTGCTGCCAAATTTGTGTTGCTATTAATGAAATGACTACAGCATGTTTTGTGTCAAGTTTAATTCCCAGAAACTTGTAGCTATGTATAATATTTCACTCTCTTATTAAGTTGCTATACAGCAAAATTTCAGTCACTATCACAAAGTGTTGTTCTTGAGTGACTTTAGAAATATCTGTAGTAATAAATCATTCTACTGCTGCCCTTTTGTAAAGACAGCTCTGCAATATAGAAGTCACAATGATTTGAGTTAAAGCTGTAGTGACTTTATCAAATTTTACTTCATGAGTTTATTTTTTAAAGCAAAATGGAATATATATATCAATGAACATGTTAGTAATGTATCATTTCAAACCGTTTTATCTTGGCCAATATCTTAGAAACTAATGTTGTTGAAATGGTATGAATGTATAATTTAACACCAAGGTGAAAAGGCATTTCTAAATTTAAAATCTGAATCGATTGAATGCAAGGACACCCTTAAAAAATTCTTTGTTACATGTTTTAGACAAGAAAACGACGTTAAAGCAGGAAAAAATCTTTTAAAAAAAATTGGAAACAGTTTGTGTCATAAAATTTTTCGGGTAGGTAGGCAACATCAAACAATTTAAATTTTATTTTTGGCCCAATGGATATAAAGTTTTAAAAGCTTTGAAGCAGATACTTAGTTTGGCTTATTGTTGTAATGGATATGTTATGGTGTTATTAGACATTCCAATTAAACATGGAAGGAAGACATACTGACACCACTTCTATGTCTTGACTTCCTTATGAATTGAGGGTTTTAGCAGATGTCTGTATGAAGCAAAATATCATCTGCATTGATGTACTATAGTTTGCCTCTGTTGCATGGAATTCTGTTTTTAACTTTAACACACAAAAAAATCATGATTATTTTGAAAACTAAGTGTTTATGTATAGCAGTGCAATATATATAATGTTCACAATTGTATAAATGTAAATATAAAACAAAATATTTGTAAAGAATATTTTAATTGCTTCAGTCAGTGTTTTGACAAATTAATTCTGTGATTATTTTAAAAATGGTGAAATTGCTATTTCTATTCTGAAAGGAGTAGATGTGGTAAGTGCCCTATTATGTCCCAATTTGAAGTAAATTATTTCAGGCTGAAAAGCTTTTGAAGATGATGCATAAAAACCTATTGAAATTAGCCTGTTTTAATTGGTAGGAAATGAAAGTTATACTTATTTTTATTTCATGAAAAAAATGCCGATAAATTAATAGATCAAAAAAACAGCATTTCTCCTATCTATTCATTGTTGTAACTATGATGCATTGTAATAAAGGCCATTCAATAATAATTTGTAATTATAGGTAGTAGTAGGGGTCATATTGGGGCCTTATTGAACCTTCTCTTTTGTACAAGATGAGAAATAGAAAGCTTTACTTAGCCTTAAAATTCAAATGTATGCATGTATGATTATTAGACAATAGAACTTACTTTTTTTACTCATATTTTTTTTATTAGTCAGGCTTTATGCTTTGAAGTATTGACATTTAATGAAAAAGATGTATATCTTAGATAGAATTCACCAGTGTAAATAACAACTTTCATTTGGAAAGAAATGTGTTGATGTATCAATTTTCCATAGTTCTTTTGTAAATACAAAATAAATATTTTATGTCAGAAATAATTGTCTTTTTTTTTAATTTGTTAGTCTTAATACAATAGTAGAGGTTTTAATTTATAATTTTGTTTGTAAAAGGTTCTGGGTTGTCCTTTCATCAACTTACTGGTCCTTCATTTTCAATTCAAGGCCAAAAAACCTCATTACACTGTAGTTAATGTATTATTCAAGAAAAAAAGAGAATGTGTGAAATATTTGTAAGGTTTCTAAATGTAATCATTTAATGGTCAAAGTACCAGAATCAAAGGCCAAGGCGGGAAACATTTCAAATTTTTAGTTATTCTGACAAGTGAAATATTAAAAAAAAAGAAGACTTTTTTGATGGTCATGCAAGCATGAGAAATAGTTTGAATATTCTAGATGTTTATTTGGATTGTCAAAGTAATAAATTGCCATTTATTTCATGAGAAATGTGGTCCTTGCTATTGGATAAGAAAGAATGTTGGGTAGAAAACATTTTCATGAAATATTATGAAACAACTACACATAAAAGTAATTGCACTATCATCAGTGTTCCCAGCTTCACATGTATTTGGTCTTCTAAATGAGCTAATATGTGCACATCCAACTTCAAGACTCTCCTGAGCAGCACCCTTTGAACCTATTCAATGATACAAACAGGTTTTGTCCTGGCTGGACAAAGTAGAAAACGCCAGACTTAAACATGATTTTTTTTCTGGCAGTGTCAGCGTCGGCGTCAACAATGTACTAGTTTGTGATTAGGTTAGTTAAAGGGGCACCACTGGTGGTAGGTCAATGATATTTAGTATGCAGCTGTATTGACATTGGCACATCTCATTTCCATGGATATTGTTAGTCCCTGCCCCCTCAGTCATGGTCTTTTGGTTTTGAAACTTTTGCATAGTCTACATGTTAAAGTTTGTGTTTAGGTCAGTTTTAAGGAAGGGAAACACTTGTGAAATTTGGTATGCAATTGTATTAGTATTGCCATTTCTCATTTCCAAGATGGTTATTTGTCCCTGCACCTTCAGTTATGGTTCATTGACTTTTATTGTTTTGCACAATTTTAATTTCAAACAATTGCATCATACTATCAAAATTGAATAAAGACGAAATATATCACTGCGTCAACAATTTATTAGATACAAAGCGTAATCTATTGACCACATAAATACTGGTGCAGTCTCTTCGAATTGATTTTTTTGTCATTTCAAGCTTGCTTAACTAGTAAGTGTAAATGAAAATTATTCACAGTATCTGTTTCTTGGTATTTTTAAACATTGTTAAATTGCTTCTTTGTGGTAAAACATTTATTTGAAAGGTAAAAATCATGAGGACATTTGTTTTGTTGAGTTGTTTTGTTTTTATTGTCTTGCCTGTGACGAAAGTCGCAGAGTGAGACAGGTATTACTATCCGGTGGCAGCGGCGGTGGCGTAAACTATTTCTATAAAGCTTTATATTTCAGAAGGTAGAAGACCTGGATGCTTCATACTTTGTATGCAGATACCTTATGCTACGAAGTTTCTGTCAGTCTTATGTCCATTGTCCTTGACCTCATTTTCATGGTTCAGCGACTGCTTGAAAAAAAATTATAGTTTTTTTGTTATGTGAATTTCTCACTTATTATGAGTAATAGGATAACTGTATTTGGTATATGGGTTCCTTGCAACGTCTACATGTCCGTCAGACAGGGTTCACCTGACCTCACCCTCATTTCCTGGATCAGTGATAAAGGTTAAAGTTTCTCAGATACTATAAGCAGTAGGTCAGATGTGGTATGAGTGCCAATGAGACAACTCTCCATCCAAGTCAAAATTTATAAAAGTAAACCATTATAGGTCACAGTACGGTCTTCAACACGGAGCCTTGGCTCACACCGAACAGTAAGCTATAAAGGGCCCCAAAAAATTACTAGTGTAAAACCATTCAAACGGGAAAACCAACTGTCTAATCTATATAAAAAACGAGAAACACTTATGAACCACATCAACAAACGACAACTACTGAACATCAGATTCCTGACTTAGGATAGGTGCAAACAAATGCAGCGGGTTTAAACGTTTTAATGTTACCAAACCTTCACCCTTTTTCTGAAACAATAGTGTAACATCACAACATAGAAAGACACACTATAAAATATCAACTGAAATAGCTTAACTCAATCAAAGGACATATTAACACCATTGAACATACACTGAACAAATAAATTTGACCTATGACACAATGTAAATACAAAATAAATAAACTAAGGGAAGAATAATAAAAGTAACATGTTATATCGGTAAGAAATGTTAAACAATTAAAGAAAAACAATATGCTCGAACAAAAATACCATCCATTTGCAATAACTTTAAACACAGGTAAATGAAAATAATTTTGTTGTTAGGTATACGTGTACAGTACCAATAGAGAAAGGAAATATTTTTACAAAATAAATAATTTTGATACAAAATAAATAAACTAAGGGAAGAATAATAGAGTAACATGTTATATGGGTAAGAAATGTTAAACAATTAAAGAAAAACAATATGCTCGAACAAAAATACCATCCATTTGCAATAACTTTAAACACGGGTAAATGAAAATAATTTTGTTGTTAGGTATACGTGTACAGTACCAATAGAGAAAGGAAATGTGGTGTATGGAATGATTGTAAGGGGTACATGTCAGTCTGGCAGGTTTCATCTGACCTTGACCTCATTTTTACGGTTCATTGGTCTATGTTAAGTTTTTGTGTTTTGGTCTGTTTTTCTAATACTTTAAGCAATAGGTCAACTATATTTGGTGTATGGAATGATTGTAAGGTGTACATGTCTGTCTGGGAGGTGTCATTTGTCCTTGACCTCATTTTCATGGTTCATTGGTCAGTGTTAAGTTTTTGTGTTTTGGCATGTTTTTCTAATACTATAAGCAATAGGTCAACTATGTTTGGTGTATGGAATGATTGTAAGTTGTACATGTCTGTCTGGCAGGTGTCATTTGTCCTTGACCTCATTTTCATGGTTCATTGGTCAGTGTTAAGTTTTTGTGTTTTGGTCTGTTTTTCTAATACTATAAGCCATAGGTCAACTATGTTTGGTGTATGAAATGATTGTAAGGTGTACATGTCTGTCTGGCAGGGTTCATCTGACCTTGACCTCATTTTCATGGTTCATTGGTCAGAGTTAAGTTTTCCTGTTTAAGTCTGCTTCTTAGATACTATAAGCAATAAGGTCAACTATATTTGATGCATGGAATGATTGTAAGGGGTACATGTCTGTCTGGCTTGGTCTATATGACCTTGACCTCATTTTCATGGATCATTGATAATTTTAAGTTTATGTGATACTTGTAGTAAAACTTTATCTTTAGGACTATCAACATAAAACCAATCATGGTTAGTAAGGCAGGCGAGACATTTCAGCGTGTACACTCTTGTTCTATTTAAGAAGGACAATTAATCATTGATCCTTTTGCATATTCTGAGGTAAAGTTTACAACTCTGGTTTTGAATTATATAGATCTATGAGACTGTAAGCCAACAATACAAGTTAAATCAAAGTACTGAAGTACTGAACATCGGATGACCGCAAGTTATGTTGGATGATGAATAAATGACAGGCGGTAATATGATACCTGCCAGACAGGGTTCGCCTCTCAATTTCTTTCAAGCCCGCTCTTGTTGGAATGCGTTTTCGAGATATTCATCCGCAAACACAATTTTTCGGTACGTGTGCATAGATATTATTGATTGTTTTACTGATATATATATGTTTCTCACGACAAAACATTTTCATATTATTTATTTATGTTCTTAAAAATTATTTTCATGAGTATTCATTGAAGAAATGAATTTATAACAAGCGATAAGGAATCTTATTTTGCACTCGATAATATCCGCGTATTTATACGAAATACGTTCGGTTATCAGTCAAAAGCGCAAGGGACGTGTGCAGAATTTCTGCGGCAACATAACACCGGTATGACCTCTCAAGGTCACATCCGATGTAAAAAGTTTTTATTGTCGCAAGGTCTAAATATACCTTTCCTATTGATGTTTGATACTCCATGTTCTGGACCACGCAGACTATTCGCATTGACGAGCATAAAAGTATTGGAATGTTTGAAGTGCATGATGTATTATTTTGAGGTTTTATTTTTAATCAAATATGGAAACACTATACAAACAACACCATAAATATATTGTGTAAAAAAACAGCAAACCTGATAAAACTGTCCTACAGGACAAAATGTACATGTATCCAATAGAAAAAAAATCCTACAGGACAAAATTTATCCTAAGGGAGAAAAAAAAATCCTACGGGACAAAATTAATCCTAAGGGAGAGAAGAAAATCCTATGGGAGAAAACAAAATCCTATAGGAGAAAAGAAATCCCATAGGACAAATTAAATCCATTAGGAGAAAAAATAATCCTATGCGACATTTTAATGGGAAATAGTCTTTCATGATAATCCTGTAGGATAGCCAAGGCGGGAAACATTTCAAATTTTTAATTATTCTGACAAGTGAAATATTAAAAAAAAGAAGACTTTTTTTATGGTCATGCAAGCATGAGAAATAGTTTTGAAGATACAAATTTCATATAACTTGATAACGTTCATACAAGACTTATATTGTGTTTAACGTTGTGTATATCGTTAAGTGGTTAAATCGGGCAACTATATGGCTAACAATAACAAAGGCGTCTAGCATGTATGGATCTCTATTCAAACTCTAATATCAATACGTCACACTTAGGTGACGTTACAATGAATAGCGGCAGCGAGAACGTTATGTTTATGCATTATTTCCAACAGTGTATGACCCTAAGGTAACGTTCATATTAAACTGGTACGAAGTTGTTCAAGGCGTGTGACTTTACCAGATAGCATTCATATAGCAGAAATACTTACTATTTAGTTCCAACAGGTCTATGACCCCTGGGTCACGTTCATATAACACTGGTACACAGTTGCTCGAGCAATATCACCACTTGATTTATGGATTATAACATTGAATTTTCCATACCGGCAGAGTATCAACTCGAGACTCCTATATATAGCCCAAG